TTCCAGTATTTTAATCCGTTTTCGTTATATCTGCTAAATATTCAAGCTCTCTCTTTCATTTGAGCAGTAGAATCCCAAGCAGAATGCAGAGTCCCTGCAGGGGTCTAACCAGTACGAAGAACAATGGAACTATTGTTGTGTAGCACACTCAGCTCCCCTCAGGATCATGCATTCCAGCCATGTTTGCCTTTTAAAATGACACTATGGATTTAAGGTGGTCTGTGGTTGCTTGTAACACCTTGCTCTTTTTCTGCCCTGCTTACTTTAGCCAGTCTATCTCCATCTTATAATTCTGTTTACTTTTTCTTCTTAGAACAAGGAAGGTACTCTTTAAAACAGAGTGCAGTAAGTTTAGGGCAAATGAAAGGAAATCTACTTCACACAGCAGGTTATAAACTTGTGGAACTCATTAGTCCCAAAAGGTGGGACTGGCAGGAAATGTAAATGAATTCAGAAATCTTTTAGCCAGATTTATGAATGAGAGCCACAAATGGCTACTAAGAAAACTGGGACTATACCTGACTTTTACAACAGAAGTCAGAGAGCAGCTTTGAGCTGCCCCACAGGATGCTTCTTGAGACCTATTGGGGTGGCTGACCTTGGGTCTCCCCAACTATGGGATTTCCTGAGCATCCCGTGTCCCGTCCACACTTGTTCTCAGTTTCACTGGGTCTCAGAAAGAACCAGTAAGGCTTATCTGGGAGAAGCAACTTTCTTTTTAAAGTAGAAGAAAGAAAGCTACTTTTTAAAGTAGAAGAGGAAAGCTTCATAACTTTTCCTTTCCCGTTCAACCATCTGCCTACCTTAGTGCCAATTATGACTGTCAGACAATAGTGATGTCTACCTAGTAGAAACTAGCTGAAATCACACTTGGGTGTTAAAACATAGATACTTTCTTTTAGGTTAAATCAGACCCTGTTTTTCCTGGGAATTTTCAGGCCTGAGACCATAAATAGCATTTTTATTTCACCCTGTACTCTATCCTCAGTAGAATCTTCAATCACTTAACTCCTCTGCTTTTCCCAGATCTGTATCTCTTTAGTGCAGGGTTCTCAAACTGGAGCACTTAAAAATGCAAATGCTCCTGGCTTCACCCCAGACCAATTAAATCACAATTTTGAGGGTGGAACCCTGGTATCAATAGTCTATAAAACCATCCCAGGTAATTCTCCCAGCAGCCAAGTTGAGGGTCTTGACCTGACAAGTACTGTTAGGTTCTCTCCTTACCCTGAGCTCCCTGCTTGGCATCTCAGTGTTGTCTGCAACATCATTCTGCAATAGCCACCTCTCCATGTTTAATGTTTATTAGTGATTATAGTGAAGCTCTCTACATAAGTCATCAATGCTAGGTCTTTATGCTTTTTCTGTCCTTCAAAACATGAACACTTAGTAAAAGAAAACTTGCTGTGAAATCTGACCCATTGCAAATACCCAACTCTTATAAGGTCCTGCCTTCCTTTTACTTACTTCTTTATTGATTAGCCAGACACCTGCTCCAAAAATGATCTGTCATCACATCTGCCTCTCACTTTTCCTGTAGGCAAGAATGTCATCTTTTTAGGAGAATACAGAAGCCAACCAGAAGAAGCTGCCTGATACCTTTAACTTAGCTGAGCATTCTTCCACCATTCTCTTCTTATTCTTCCTTTAAATCATTGAAAAGAAAAATTCTACTTTCACTTATTAAATGTGATTGAATACCAACTGTGTGCAATACATTAAAATGTAGTGAAGTCCTATTAGAAAGCAATGAACAATAATACATGAAAAGAATATAAAGTCTTAACAATAAGAAATATTTAATAAGCTATGAGTGTCTAGGAAGGAGGGATCATTTAGGCCAGGTCTTGAGTAATGAAAAGATTTTAGCAATCAAGTATCAGGCAAAGGGGCATTCAGATTCAAAGGGGCAACATGGCTAAAGACACCAAGTTGTGATGTGCATGGTTTGATTTGGGAATAGCTAAAGGTCTGGTATAGCTGGAATATGGCATGGAAAGTGAATCTTTCTGAGTATTTCTCATTTATGGCATACTGAATCTCATTCATTTGCTGTATTTCTAGTGTCCTTAGTCTTTTGTCTTCTGGTTCCTTTTTAAACTTTATATATACACATGGCTTCCCTGGCCTAAAAGAAACATCTTTGACCCAGTCCTGATATCTTCGTAAATACCATGCCATTCCCTTCATTTTTCTGCCAAACTTTCACAGTATGACTTACGCTTTCTTTCTGCCCCCTTTCTACATTCTCCACCTCACCCTCCTAATCTAGCTTCTGGCCTCTCCTTAATCCTATCCACAAACCCCCATCCTTACAGAAAAGCTCTGCAAAAGATTCTTACGTTATTCAGACAAAGCCATTGGCCAGCCCTCATTCTATTTAGCTTTTAGCAACATCTGGCACTGTGAATGACTGCATTTTTCTTGAAAGCTTTTTTATCTAAGGTAGCCTGGGATGTTGCATGATGGTTGAACTCCTCCCACCTTTTTTTCACTCCCTATGGTCTCCTTTGCTGGCACTACTTCTACCTCCTTAACTGTGACTATCCATCCCCAAATACTTTCCTCCCTCTCTTGTTTCATTTTATTATTTATTCTTTCATTCTGAAAGCATTAACTGAGTACTCACACTAGGCCAGGCACTTTGCTAAACACAAAGACAACTTTGGTTTTCTCTGTACACTCATTGCTTTTAAGCATGTTTTCTGTTCTTACAGCTCCAGCTTCCAATTCTGTATGGAAGATTTCTAAATCTACATTTTCTGTTGTGACTTCTGAATGCTCATTCTATAATTCTGGTTGCCACCAGATATGTATTTTGCATCTACACAATTTACTTAAAAATAAACTCATGTTTTTCCATAAAAATCAATTTCTCTGCCTCAGTATATTTACCTCAATCAATGAAGTCACCATATCCATCTTCAAGGCTGGATATCTGAGCATATTATTTTAGTCTTTTCTCAGTACATTTTGTATCCAATTTGTCACAATTTTCCAACAATTTCTTCTCTAGATGCCTTTATGATTCACTGTTACCTCTCCATTTTTAGAGCCACCCACTTGATCCAGACTTTACACATAGCTTCTTACTAAAGACAATAATTGATCTCCCTGCTTCCACTCTCACTCTCCTTAAATAAGTTCAGCCTGTAGTTGCCATACTAATCTTCCTAAAATACTACTTGAGTACATCCTTTCTGGTGACCTTTCAAGCCCACCACATTTCATCTCATCTCCTTAGTCTAGCCCAAGTTCTCCACAGTTCAACCACTCATTTTGCAATTCAGCCATATATTCTACTCAACATATTTGTTACTGTACCCTCCCCAGTATTTTCCCAAACAAATCAAACTAATTTCTACCTCCATTCCCTTTGTTTCCCTTACCTAGATGCCTTCTAAAGGTCTGCATGCCCCAATATAACCAGGCCAAGTCTCACTCACTTTCTTTCCATAGCCTTGCCTTGCACCAGAAACCTCTAGAAAACTTTTCTCTCTTGAAAAGCTAATTACATTTAGAGGCTTTACCATACCACTTGGCTCATATTACATGCTATCTTTATGGCACATTGTTTTTGGCCTGTTAGTGGGCTCCTCCCCAAATATAGGGTAAACTTATTAGATGAACTATATATAATTTTATTAATTTTAGATAAAAATAGTATTATGTTTATGTTTTTTAAGATGTCTTATCTTTTAGGAATATACACTGAAATATTTACAGATAAAATTATGTGATATCTGAGTTTACCTCAAAATAGTTGATAAGTATAGAAGGAACAAGGTTGGCCATGTGGTGAATTGCTGAAGTTGATTTACAAGAGATTAATTTGTACTGTTCTCTATTCTATCTACCTTTACGTGTATTTTAAATTTCTTAAAAATATTTTTAAAGTAGTCATTGATGTTAAGAAATTTTTGTTAAATATTTTTGATGTGATAATGGCACTGTGGTTATGATTTTTGAAAAGGAATTCTTATCTTTTAGAAATACCAACTGAAATATTCATGCATGAAATGATAATAATGTAGACACTGAGGTTGTTGCATTTTTAAAAGATTATAATAAATAAAAGAAAAATGTTTAAATTGTCATCGAAAATGTCTTATCCCCAGAAATATATTCATAAACCCCAAGGTCAGAAAACAATACTTTAGATAGTTATGTAAAGCCTGTTCTATGTTTTGCCTATTTATACCTAAAGACTACATAGCAAGCAAATCTGTGAGTTGCTCATCCTGTAGATGAGTGCATAGAGAAGAGTAAAAAACAACCAAACACTGTATATGAGACTTCATAATCTTTAAAGATACAGGATTTTTCATAAGAGTAATGGCTTTAAAAACTGGATTATATTCCAGGTAACATCAGCCTTCAATGGATATACATTCAGACAAACTAGTACCAGATAAAGTGACTCATGCCTGATCTCAGCTACTTCAGAGCCTTAGGCAGGAGGATTGCTTGAGGACAGGAGTTTGAGACCAGCCTGGGACACATAGCAAGGCCCTGTCTCTAGAAACATTTTTTAATTAGCTGGGCATGGTGGCATGCACCTGTAACCCTGCTACTTGGGAATTTAAGGTAGGAGGATTAGTTGATCTCAGAAGTTCAAGTGAGCTATGATCATACATACTACTTGACTGCAGCCTGGGCAACAGAGCAAGGCCCTTTTTCTAAAAAAGTAAAAACTAAATAAATAAGCATGGTAAAGCAGTCCTTAATTTAAAAAACAAAACAAAACAAAACAAAAACCCAGCTAAACACAAAGAAAACCCCACAGGCTTTCCCCATTATCAATTTAATTCATGAATTTAGTATTAGCCCTCCAAAAAACTTATCAATAAATATTGATTATTAGCAAATTCATCTGATTTCAGGGAGAAGAGTCTTGTCTCTGTGATTAGAATATTCATTAGCAACCACATGGCCAGTAAGTTAATATCAGAACCTGGCTGAATGTCTGAAGAACCCAAAAGTTAGAAAATCATTCATCGGTGCTCACTTCAATAGCACATATTCTAAAATTGAAAAAATATAGACAATATTAACACAGCCCCTGCACAAGAATCACATGCAGATTCAGGAAGCATTTCATATGTTTCTGAATGAGAAATTTAACAAAGAGATAGATATTATTAAAAAAATAATTAAACAGAAATTTTGGAGCTGAAGAATTTAATGATTAAAATAAAAAATACATTGAGAGATTCAACAATAGATTAGATCAAATAAAAGAAAAAATTTTGAGGCCAGGTGTGGTGGCTTATGCCTGTAATCCCTGTACTTTGGGAGGCTGAGGCAGGTGAATCACAAGGTTAGAAGATCAAGATCATCCTGGCCAACATGGTGAAACCCCAATTCTACTAAAAATACAAAAATCAGCTGTGTATAGTGGCAAGTGCCTATAGTCCTAGCTACCTGGGAGGCTGAGACAGGGGAATCACTTGAACCCGGGAGGCAGAGATTGCACTAGGCCGAGATCATGCCACTGCATTCCAGCCTGGTGACAGAGTGAGACTCCATCTAAAAAAAAAAAAAACAAAAAGAAAGAAAGAAAGAAAGAATTTTTAAACTTGAACATGAGTATTTTGAAATAACCTGGTCGGAAAAAAAAAGAAAAAAGAATTAAGAATTGCCTTACAGGACCCATTGGAACACCATTAATGAGCAAATGTTCACAGTATGAAAATTTCAGGAGAAGAGATAAGAAAAGGCATAGAAACCCTATTTAATGAAATAATAGCTAAAAACTTTGCATGTCTTAGAAGAAATGTGAATATCTAGATCCAGGAAACTCAAAACCCCAAATATATTAAGTTGAAAAAGGTCTTCTTCAATTCACATTATAGTCGAAGTGTCAAAAGTCAAAGACAAAGAATTCCAAAATAGCAAGGGAAAAGTGTTAAGTCACAGAGAAGGGAATCCCCATTAAGCTAACATTAGATTTCTCAGACACCTTATAGGCTGGGAAATAAGAGGATATAAATTCAAAGCACTGAAAGAAAAAAAAAAGAAAAGATGTTAGCCAAGAATAGTATACCAAGAAAATCTATACTTCAGAAATGAAGGAGAAGTAATGTCTTTCCCACACAAAACCTGAGGAAATTCATCACCACTAGACCAGCATTACAAAAAATTATTAAAGAAATCCTATACATGAAAGCAAAAGAATAATAATTCTACTACCATAAAAACATGCAAAAGTATGGAACTCATTCATAGAGCAGATACACAAATGATTAAGAGAAAGGAATTCAATCTTATCATGACAGAACACCACCAAACTGCAAAGATAAATAATGAGAGAGGAAAACAGAAACAAAAGATATATAAAACAATGTGAAAACAAAAAAGATAACAAGATTAAGTCCTCACCTAACAACAATAACCTTAAATATGAATAGATTAAATTCCCCAGTTAAAACATATAAACTAGCTGAATGGTTAAAAATCAAGACCCAACTATATGCTGCTAACAGTAAATTCACTTTACCTATGAAGATATGCATAGACTAAAGTGAAGGAATGAAAATATATATTCCATACACACAGAACCCCAAAATGAGCAGGAGTACTGATCTGGTTTGGCTGTGTCCCCACCCAAACCACATCTTGAATTGTAGTTCTTAAAATTCCCACATGTTGTGGGAAGGACCTGGTGGAAGGTAATTAAATCATGGTGGTGGTTTCTCCCATGCTACTCTCATGATAGTGAATAAGTTCTCACAAGATCTGATGGTTTTTTTAAGGCACTTCCCCCTTTGTTTGGCTCTCATTCTTCTCCTTACTGCTGCTATTGAAGAAGGACATATTTTCTTCTCTTCTGCATTAGTTGTAAGTTTCCTGAGCCCTCCCAAGTCATGCTGAACTGTCAGTCAATTAAACCACTTTTCTTTATAAATCATCCAGTCTCAAGTATGTTTTTATTAGCAGTACCCATACATATATGAGATAAAATAGACTTTAAGTCAAAAACTATGAAGAAGAGATAGAAAGTCATTTTATATATATATATATATATATATATATAATGACTAATATATATAAGATGATTTGTATATACATTTAAAATTGTTGAATTCACTTATCTCTCTGGATACCTATATTTGTGTGTGTGTGTGTCATTTTATATATATATATATATATGTGTGTGTGTGTGTCATTATATATATAGACACATGTTATATATATATAATGACACACACACACATATATATATATATGACACACACACGCATATATATACATGCATAGAGAGAGAGAAAGACAGAGAGAGAGAGGGTCAGTTCATCAAGAGGATATAGCAATTGTAAATGTATATAGACCTAACACTGGAGCACCCAGCTATATAATTCAAATATTATTAGATCTAAAGGGAGAGATAGATCTCAATACAGTAATAGCTGGGGACTACAACACTCTACTGTCAGAATTGTATAGATCACTTAGGCATAAAATCTATAAAGAAACATTGAATTCAAACTGCATTATAAATCAAATGGACCTAACAGACATTTACAGAATATTCCATGTAACATCTACAGAATGTGTGTTCTTCTCATTAGCACATGAAACATTCCCCAGAATAGATCATATGTTAGGCCACAAAACAAGTCTCAACAAATTTTTAAAAATCAAAATCAATATGAAATATGTGTTCTTATCACAATGGAATAAAACTAGAAATCAAAATCAAGTGGAACTTTGGAAACTGGACAATTATGTGTAAATTAAACAACATACTCCAAAACAACCAAAGCATAAAATAAGAAATTAAGAAGTACATTAAAAATTTCTTGAAACAAATGAAAATATAACAAAATATAACATATCAAAACCTATGTGATACAGCAAAATCAGTAGTGAGAAGAAAGTTTATAGCTATAAACACCTACATCAGAAAAGTAGAAAGGTTTCAAATAAACAACCTAATGATGCACTTCAGGGAACTAGAAAAGCAAGAATAAGCCAAACCCAAAATTAGAAGAAGGAAAGAAATAATAAAGATTGGAGCAGAACTAGAGAGTAAAACAATACAAAAGATCAAGGAAAAGAAAGTCAGTTTTCTGAAAAGATAAACAGAAGTGACAAATCATTAGCTAATCTAGGGGGAAAAAAAGACACAGATAAATAAAATTCAAAATAAAAAAAAAATGAAACACTGCAACTGATACCACAAAAAAGGAAATGCTACAACTGATACTTCAGAAATAAAAAGGATTATTGGAGACTATTATGAACAATTATATACCAAAAAATTGGAAAACCTAGAAGAAATGGATACATTCCTTGGACACAGACAAGCTACCAAGATTGAACCAGGAAGAAATGGAGAACTCGAACAGAATAACAATTTGGTAATGAAACTGAATCAGTAATAACATCTCCCAAAAAGAAAAGCCCAGAACCAAATGGCTTTGCTGCTGAATTCTACTAAACCTTAAAGGAAGAATTAACATCAATTCTTCTCAAACCGTTTCAGAAAATGAAAGGGAATTTTTTCAAACTCATTCCTTGATGTCAGCATTACATTGATACAAAAACTAGACAAGGATGCAACAAAAAAAGAAAACTACAGGGCAATATCCCTGATGAACATAGGTGCAAAACTTCTCAACAAAATACTAGCAAACTGAATCCTACAGCACATCAAAAAGATTATACACCATAATCAAATGGGATTTATCCCAGGTATGCAAGGATGGTTCAACATATACAATACAATAAATGCAGTATATCACATCAACACAATGAAGAACAGAAACAATATAATCATCTCAATAGATGTAGAAAAAGCATTTTATAAAATTCAACATCACTTCATGATAAAAACTTTCAATAAATTAGAAGGAATTTAACTCAACACAATAAAGGGCATATATAACAAACCCACAGCTAACATCATACTGAACAAGGAAAAGTTGGAAGCTTCTTCTCTAAGAACTGGAACAAGACAATGATGTCTGCTTTCTCCACTCTTACTTAACATGGTACTGGAACTAGCCAGAGCAATTTAGCAAGAGAAAGAAACATGACTAGTTCCCAATTTTGAAGTGCTATTAGTGTAACATATACACTAGATTTCCAATACTTTCTACAATAAAAGAATGCAAAATGTCTTGTTAATAAGTTTTATTTTGATTAATTGATTATGCATTGTATTAGTTTGCCATAACAAATTATCATAGACTAGGTGGCTTAAGAAAGAGAAATGCATTTTTGACAGTTCTAGAAGGTGGAAATCTGAGATCAAGGTATTGTCAGATTGTTTCTTCTGAGGCCTCTCTTCTTGGCCTGTGTCATCACATGATCTTCCCTGTGTGTGTGCCCATGTCCATATTGCCTCTTACTGTAAAAACACCAGTTTTATTGTATTAGGGCCCACCCTAATAAACCCATTTTAATATAATTGCTTCTTTAAAAACCCCATCTCTCAATATAGTCACATTCTGTGGTACTGCAGTTTAGGGCTTCAACATGAATTTTGGAAGGGGGACACAACTCATAATACCTGTCAAAATAATAATATTTTGGACCTATTTGGTTAAAAAGGACAGCATTATGGTAAATTTCAACACTTTATTGTTACTTTTTAAAATATGGCTACTAGAAATGTGGCTTGCATTATATTTCTATTGGACAGTGCTGGATTTTATTTCTTTGGGACAACAAAACACTGTATCTTCATCTGTTGAAATAATAAGAAAAAGTTCTCATTTTAAATAATTTGCCATTTTCTACTATATTTCCCTTTTAATGCTAAGTTTTATTTTAATATTGCTAATGAGTAAAAGCAGTGATTTGGTATATAAAGATGAAATATGCACAAGAAAAATTAGACCAGAGTTCTATTTGGATCTTACTATCTTTATGATCTCAGCCATACCCTTAACTTTCCTTTAATTTCTTCTTTCTGAAAAAGAGAGAATAACAGCCAACATTTGTTGAGTGATTATTTTGTGCCAGGTACTTTTCTGAATTTCTACACTAGTAGTTTATTTAATCCATACAACAATCTTTTGAAGATTTTAGGTAGTAGTATTACTCTTTTCAAGAGAAAACTGAAGCACACAGAGATTAATTAACCTGCTCAAGACTCTA